AATGAAAGAATAAAACTGCTGCTTGAATGACCTTTCCCTGAAGGTTTCTTTTTTCATTTATCTGGCATGAGCTGCAGAAGGCTAAACCATCTGGTTTGGATTCCTTCCTGCAATCTCCCCCAGGATTTGTTTAGGGCAGATCTCACCAGGAGGAGGCCTCAGGGCAAACCCAGGACTTAGTGAGAAATTTTAATGTCTCAGTTTGCATGAAGACACACTAATCTTACCCTGAAAAGCAAAACGATTTGGTTGAAAAGAAGAACAAAGGCTACAATTTATCAGATCCATGAAAGCAAGTCCCTGAAAAGAGGTAGGTAATTTATACAGGGATGAAACTGGGATATGATAGCAATAAATTCAGAGTTATATTGTTGTCATGATAAGAAAATGTGATCATGGGAACCAATAGCAACGCTGTTAACTCATCCCAATAATCCCCTCTGTCTACCTCCTTGAACGGACTTTGTAGCTCTAAAACATTGCCTCACGTTTTTCCTTGTATTTAATATGGATTACAGGGAACACTGATTCAATAAAACTTAACGACAGGTTGTAAAAAGCTGCTTACCTAGCCAGTGTTTCATGTGAATAATTCTGTTTACTTTTATCAGGAAAATCCAAACCAAGTCTCCCTTTCCACCCTTTTAAATGTTACACTTCATGAATTAATGTTGCATGATAACAGAAGCTCTTAGTCAACAATTTTACCCTGCAATATAGATTTTTTTATATGTATTTTTTTTATAAACATCGTGTGTTATATAAGTTTGGCCACTAGGGGTCACCATTGTCTATGAATTAATTAGAGTCTGCACTCAAAAGGAACAGAGGACTGTGCCTGCAGATATTTATATTCATTGCAAACGTTCACTCTGTTCCTCTATCTTATCTTAACTTTTGCTTTCCCTTCTGTGCGCCTTGCTCCTTCATTATAAGGAACAGTAAATTTATGACTTACGAAAAACAAAACGAAACCAATCTGGCAAGTTTTTGAAACAGGTGGCCCATGTTTCAATAGTGAGATGCGACACTACATCTTGCTCTCAGATGAGTCATATGGGCTGCTTCCTTCCTTTGACTGGCTGAAAGCACCTGTTTACACTTCTGAACTGATCAGACAGGAAGTGAGAGTACACTGTCTGCACTGTTGTGGGTCTGCTGAGAGCGTCAACCTGCTAGCCACGTAGTTTTGAGAAGAGTTCAGCTTTATGCGTCATTTACACGTCTTTTACAGAAATGTTTTGTGAATTAAATAAAACAAAACTATTCACACCATTTGAACATTTTCACATTCTGTCATGTCACATTAACCTCCTTTCGTGCAGTGAATGTATCCCATGGAGAACAATTTTCAAAATGCAAATCTAAAAATGCTGGAGTGGATTTTGAATACACTCCCACTCTGAGGCTCCTAAATGAAATAAAGTGGAAACAAACGCCTCCAGAAGTGATCGAATTAATAAACCGAGTGTGACCAGAATGACTGAACAGCAAACATGCTCATTGTTAAACATAGGCAGAAAAAGGACAGCATTAAGAAATCAAACAGCCACAATTATGGAGGAGATGCAGAGATCCACAATTTCAGTGGGAGAATCAGTTGACAGAATATTTCTTAGTTATGTCCTCCAAAACAATGTCTGGCAAGGAAAGTAATTTTTGAAAGAAAGCCTAAAGAAGCACTTTTAAAGTCTGCCACATGTAATAAAGGAGAGATAAAACCAGAGCTGGACTGGTTGGCCCACACTCTTTGGCATAAAATTAACACTATATGTACTGAAAAACGTCTCATTATACTATAATCCCACTGAAATGAGGTGATGAAACTTTCATGCTCTGGGAATGTTGATCTTTTGGAAAAAACACAAAACATTTATTTCACATCTCTATTCTCAGATGCAGGTTTCTGATCCAATTTCCCACTTCTGGCTTCTTAGTTCACCAAGACAGGTGTTAATAGTGGGGGAAAAAAAAGAGTTGTTCCACAGTAGTTTTCTTTGTTGAATAAAAAACAACTAGACAGCCTGTAGACATCAGTTGTGGCAAGAACTGTTTAGCCTCTCGCTCCCAAGCAGAGTCCAGGGGAGGGACTGTTTGAAGCTCTCCCCCCGGGCTCCAGGCTCTGTCTGTGAGATCCGGGTGCGCTGACAATATTAGCGCGTGTGATCTGAGAGTCTGATCAAAGCTGGCTCGTTCTGCCCGACCGATTCCTAAAGGATTAAGGATTAGGGAGCTGGGATGCTGGGAGAGACACAGGAACAACCTTGAAGAGACAGAAGGTATGGGGTGAGTTAGAAAGGGATAAGGAGATGTTGAGGAGGACATAGGGGTCAAAAGAGACACACAGATGCCATTTTGAGGCAGAAGTTCAGGCTAAAATGAATGGTGCGTTATTATATCCTTAGGTTACTCGGCAGACAAGGCTGCGCTGCTGCTAAAGTCTGACACATACCTGCTTTAATAAAGTTCCACAACTCACAGGTACTCTGTGTTTAATAGCTTAATGGGATAAATTTTTTTCTTCATTTACAAGCTGATTCAGTTTTGTGGAAAGGACTAGCCAAAAAACAAGGTGTTTCGACTCCATTGCTTTCAGTAAGTTCACTTATATTAGAAGCTCTGAGTGGTTTTCACACTCTTTTGGTTGTCTTAAGAGTTGTTCAGTGAACTGTGGATAAGTGACCTTTAACGTAAGGAGGTCAAAAATAAAAGTCAGAGGTTGTTTACCAAACACCAGAGAAAGTTTGAGAAGCTTTTAAGAAGGAAAACTGGTTTCTAATAAAAGGGCTCACAGCAACATTTTCACAGCTTTTCCTTTTCAGTTGTGTTAGGCTTGTAGCTTCTAATAGTTGTACTCATTTCCATGTATAAGATCAAAAGATATGCAAAACTGCATGAAAAACATGTACATTGTCAAAAGAACAATAAAGATTTTACATATATGTTTACTTATATAAACATATATATATTAAACTGCTGAATGAATGGATGGAGAAATTGATAGATTGATGGTTGGCAATTGGCTGAATAGTCTGTCATTAGCTGCAGCATAAATTCTGTTGTTCTTTACCTCAGAGCTGAGGTTCCAATTATTTCATATTCCTGGGGAAAAACGTTTCCAACATACTGACTGTAGCTGGATGTGAATGCATTCTCATTATTTTCTTGTTCAAGGTCCATTCTTTTCTATGTTGCCATTAAACATCCACACATCCATTACATTTAGTAATAGATATGCCTTGTCAAGAAAATAATCAGTTTTCTATTAATAGCAATATGCAGCCCCCTCTGGCGTTTCAGACAAAATCCTATATAGTAGTGAGTTTTATGTTTTACATAAGCGTGGCTCCAACTGTTCCTTTAGTGTCAGAAAAGTGTGTTTCAAAATCACTCATGTGCTTTGAAAAAGAATAGAAATTCTGTTTGAGCTTTATCCTCGTCATAGTTTTTTTTTAAATACAATAATATCTGCCTTTTATAAAATAAACATGGCCTAACCTGAACTTATTAAGGATATCTTTTTTCCTTTTATTTACTTGCAGCTCAGCAGGTAGCTGAATTAATAACTAGTTAAATAAAACTTGTTATCCATGTAGTTTTCCACTCAATCCATGTAGTGACATATACCAAAACATATCAGTGTTATACTCTAGTCACAAATTGTACGGAAAGGCTACATGTTAGACTTTGAAGCACCTTATCAAAAGTTTGACATTTTAAAAGGAGATATGAACAACCAAAGACCCTAAATTAACAAAACTAAGTTTTACAGGGTCAAAGCTACTCAAATGTTATCTTATTTGGCTAAAAGAATATTTAAATAATGTTTGAATGAATGTTTTTAACTGAGCATGAATGAAGTAACTGTTCTTTTCACAGGCTTAAAGTTGAGTATGTGTTCGGTTTGTATTTGCTACACAAAACACTGTCGTTTCAGTCACTCACTGTCTTCTCATATGTTCCTGCTTTATTCACATTGAAACCAAATGTTGATCTACAGAACTAAATGTTTGTTAAAGCAGAAGTGAGATGATTTTAACCCACTGAAAATAACAAAAAGGAATGAGAGCTGAAGCAACCATGTAGCAGTGAGCAAATAATTGAACACCTGCTTGCCAAATATTCAAAAAAGACCCAGATGAAAGGTCAGTGTGAGGCAAGTTGTTCACCCCCCACCAGATGTGTACTTGCTCTGGCCTTTAGCCGATTAATTATCTCATAGTTTATGACACAAGGGTCGGTGTTCAGGCAATTGCATTACACCACACACTCCGAGCAATGTGGGGATTTGTTCCTGCTGGACAGTTTGTTTGAGCATGTGTGTAAAATAAATAAAGGAGGAGACTCTTTACACATCTAAAGGGAAAGAGGAACTGCTTGTTATGTTCCAGCAGTAACATTATTTAGGTAGATTTGTTTAATTTGAGATGATCTACAACAGTAAGGCACTCTGGACAGGGAACCACCCTGTGGCATTTTTTTTTCTGAGCTATTTGCCTGAGCCTCTATCATTTCCTGGGTATAGCCAATAGCAGTAAAGGAAGTGGTCTCACTGTCACAGAAACAGTTGGCACGGAAACAGCACATTACACCATCATCCAATCCCCCTCCCATTCCTTTGTCGTCATGTTTGTCCTCCCTCCCTCCCTGTGCCCTCCTCTCCCTGTCCTGCATGTTTTTTCACTCATCAATGAAATCACAACCAAACCTACTGCTGGCCCTGTCATGAAGAACATTACACCCTCGAAGAACAGATGATGATTTGTTTTCAACAAATCGGTCAGGGTGCGCAGCCTCCCCCTGCAGCCAGAACAAGAATTGAAACAAAGATGCTGAAACCATCAACGTGTGTTTTCCCTCTTTTCTCTGTCACTCTCATGATTTAATCCTTACCTCTTCTCTCTCCCTCTCTCTTGCTCTCTCTCTCTCTTTTTCTATCTTCACTGACTCCTCCCTCTGTTTCTGTCCTGCACTCCCTCTCTCTGCCTCTCCGTCTCCGACACACTCAAACACACACCCTCCGCCCCCATCGCTGCAGTGTCTCAACTGCCTTGGAGCAAGCAAGAGAGGATACAGAATACAGACGGTTAGAAGACAGAGGAAGAGGGCCGCTGAAAGAGACACACACAAACAGAGAGAGAGAAATAGTGAGAGGCGTACTTTGTGTGTGCAGTGAAAATGAGGACGGGATGAAGATGAAGCAGGGGCACTGAAAGTGGATTGCACTGAGCCTTCTCTTTCCCTGCAAGGGCTTGTCTGCAGTATCCTTTTGTAAACGGATGCTTGCTAGAGATCACGGTAAGCCACGCTCACTGTGCCTTTCTTCTCTTATCTGCACGATGGGATCTCACTGTTGCCATTCTGTTGAAGCAGAATGATGAAATGGGGAAAGAGATGTTCAGAGATGGCACTAAGGCAGCCAGGCGGGCTGTCCAATCCCCTCCTCCACCCTCTTAGCTCAGTGCCAATGGACGCTGCTATCTTACATTTGCAATTTGACTCATCATCTCCCTAGAGCATCTTTGATTCTTATAGAATGCTTTTATGTGAATACAGCGCTTAGTTTACGTAACATTGTATGTAGGACAAGTGGAGGATGCAGCAAAGATGTGTGCATGTGTGTGCGTGTGTGGATGTGATCAGTCCAGGCCATAAGCTGTACAAACAGGGAGGGGAACAGGAGCATAAAACCCGCCATCACACAATCAGGTGCTGAGCACAACTGGGCTTCACCAGACAGCCAACGTGCACAGATCCCAAGGAGTTTTGGGTGAGACGGCAAAATCGAGGCCCTGGAATCGCCGTGAGATTTTGCGAGTGAAGCTTCCCGTTTTCCTTTGCAGGGAGCCAAATTACACAGATTAATAACAATCTCCTTCTCGAACCATAATCCATTTGGTTTGCTTGTGTCCAGCTGTTCATAGATCTTCTGTAAATCTTGATGTGGGGAAGAGGACGGGAGGGGGCAGAAGGGAAGAGCAGTGCATGTTCGTTACCCCAGTGGGAGAGGAAAAAGCAGGACGGTTGTGACATTTTGTATCTCCACAGTCTTTCCTATTTACAAGAGCTTTACTGTATTTTATTTTCAGTGGGGGTTGGGATTTATTGTGTGGCACCAGAAGAACATGTGTGTTTGTGTACACTCTGTATGTGTGTGTGTTTGCCTTACACACTCAAAAGAAAGAGAGAGAGAGGAAAAAAAGAGAGAGCTTGTGCAAGGGAGCGGTTGAGGGGCTGAAGGGAGGGGGTTAACAGTAGGGAGGCAGATGGGGCAGAGGGGCGGAGGTTGATGCAGCAGAGAGCAAGAGGGAGAAAAGAAGGAATGGAAGATTTGGTACAGATTGGATGGATGAGCAGGCGAGGTCGGAGGGTGTGGAGAGGGGAATAAAGGTGGAGGGGGCAGAAGGTGGCGGTGACAATTTCACGGTGGTGGAAAGGCAGCGCGTTGCTGAGCATGTGACACAGAACACCAGATGAGTTGGCGAGGGATCCATCCAACCGAGGCCCTGAGACATCGATGAAGATAGTGGAAAACACAACCTCCTTCAATGAGTCCATCAAATCTGACATACTGGATACCTTTACTGAACCTCTGGGATATTGGTGATTAGGGAACATTGGGACTTGACAGGAACATTAATCTTCTAGGCTAAATTTGTAATGTAGCTCTAATTAGAATCTAGGCTTGGAATAGTTACTGACACCAAGGTATTTCAAGGTGCAATAAATGAAAGGTTTCACAAATGCAAACATTATCTGTCAGTGTTCCAGCAGTTTTATTGATGAGATGCAAACGAAAGTGGCAAAGAGACTAGAGCTTTTAATTTAGAGCTGCCCGCCTCTTAACTGCTGTTGGACAATATATCAAATTTGAAAAGTCATCATAACATTGCGCGCAATATTGCAACTGAAAAGGACTTTTTGAAAGCAACAACTGGTTGGATATTATATTAGAAATTCCATGTTGGTATACTCTGCATGCAAATTATGGTTTGAGCCTGTTGGGTGCAGTTTTACTGCCCTTGATGCCAAACTTGAGGAATATCTTTATGATGAAGGAAAGGAGAAGTAAAGTTATAAAAAAGTGGGTTAATTATGATCTATGTTGTCACAATATCCAGGAACAGTATTTTAAATATTTTCCTGATATTGCATATGGCCCTACAACAGTATTATCTACTCAACAGGGAAAAAATATTTTTTTGAGCTATTTTTAGTCACTAAAACACAGATAATCAAGAATTGAACACTAACAGAGCCACGCCTTTCACTCTTACCAAGGTAGCACCAATTTAAAACTTCATTTGGTAACCCACAGGGTTTTATTGTGTTTGATAAAAGCACTTGGAGTCACACCTTGTCATAAGTAGGTATGATAAGGAATACCTACTTATTCCTCATCAGTGGTGGTAAGAGTTTGATCCATAATTAGTAGGTTGCCAGTTTGAGTCCCTGCTCTATATGGCTCAGTTGTTGTGTCCTTCACCCGCCTTGTCTGCTGGTGGTGTTTAGACAGCCTGGTGGTGCTGGCGCATGGCAACTGTGGCTACTATCCAGTACCTTTCCACTATTAGCATGTGAATGGGTGAATGACTGAATGTAGTGTGAAGTGCAGTGGCCCATGCAAGTACAGGCCATTTGTGGAAGGGTTGACACCGATCTCCAGCAGTCATTGGACAAGATGCAGGTACACCTTGGACAGTTTGTTGGTGCATGAAAGGGCAACACAGAGGCATGTAGGGCAAACAACCGTACACACACTCACTCCTATTGGCAATTAGAAAGACCATGTAACTAAACATAAACATTTGAGACGATGGGAGGAAGTTGAGCTTCCTATAGAGCAATGCTTCCCAGCTCTATAGGAGCCCTCCATGCACACTGTTGTGCAAGTTTTAGATGTTCCCTTGCTTTTGCACACCTGTTTCGGGTGATTTTAGTTCAATGAAAGCCTGCTAATCAGCTATAGATTGAAATAAGGTGCATTGAAACAGACAAACACCTAAAACATGAAGGGCAAAATTGTTTACTTTTACCTCTTTATAGAAGAAATGTGCTCTGACAAGACCCAATTCCCTTTGTTTAAGCTGCAAGGAGATAATACAATAAGATAACTTTTGCCTTAACTATATAATATCAAATACTGTTATATGAATTGATTTCCCCCCCCTAAAAACAACTGAGATGAACTGCAATAATGCTAGTACTTTCTTGGAAGTATTTGCGTAATTAATTTTGCGGATCCTTCCTGGTGCCATCATGTAAATATGTTGTGGTCACATCAGTTACTGGAATACATACAAAATCTGTGGGCTGAAACACAGCAGCTGGAAGACAAAGTGGTAGCACAACGTTAACTGTTTAACATGCAAACAACCTTTTGTGCTCTTGGTCTTTTTTATCTGGTAAAGATCTAGCTGTCTATTTCAGCTTCTGTGTAGCTCAAATGCTGTTTCAGAGATGGGTTGGTAAGCAGTCAATGGAAGAACAACGAAGAACATATCTTCATTTGAAGTGAATTTCTGTTAATTTACTATCAGTGGCAGTTTTCTTACCTATAGAAAGATTTTGTATTTGTGTGAGTTTGTAGTCAAAACAATAACTACAAACTCACAGTTGTTAGGCTTTCACTGTTAGCATATTCCTTCAACTTTGTGCTATTTTCTTATAGAACAATATATGTGTTACTACAAACCAGCATTAATTATCAGTGTGCTTTAATGGTGAATTTAATTTGTCGCAGAAGTTTGAGGTTGGATTTGGAAATTACATCACACTTGGTTTAAGGCATTTCCAACCCTACCCTGCCATACTCTACCCCACCTACCTATAACCTCTTAACTAAGAGTGGAGTAACCTTCTGAAATATGTTATGGTGTACCTCATGTAGCAGCATCAAATATGACACATTCTTGTGCATTTACAGTCCTCATAAGTATTTATAAATTCAGGCACATGGTGCTGTCAAGAGTCTAATGCGGCACAATTTTGTGCACATTGACACACAAAAAGCCCCACCAACACCAAACATGATAATTATCTTTTGTAAAATATCATCATCATATCAGAGTTTTCTACTACAGGCCAGCGAACGATAAACAATGTCAACTTCAAAGAGCCTCATGTGAAAAGATACAAAATTTAAGTTTTTAAAATGACCAGCAGAACCAGGTTGCCTGATTTGAGACAAATGCTAGTTGAAAAATGGGAGGCCACCCTTTAGCAGTGTTTGACCTGGCTGGTGACCAGCATGAGGAGGAGGTGTCTGGCTCATCTGGTTCTTCGAAGTGTTTTGAGGCTTGCGCTTGTAAATGAAATAAATGGTTAAATTGTCAGTCTGTCTTGTTTTTCAAATTTGAATAATCTATCAAAAAAAATAAAAATAAATAAATAACACCTTTCAAGAGAAAGTAAGGCTTTGACATGGAGGGTTTGGCAAGTTTTTCATGAGTTCAGTCCTCATATGCATTTTTGTTCAAAATATGGCAGCATTCAAAGCTAAATTTACTATAAAAATTTTTCCAACAAAGGACTGATAAAAAAAAAAGTCAAACAAGAATGATCTTATTTGCTTTTATAAGCATAACACAGAAGTCCTGAGTAGCACTGGATGATCTCAACATTCAACAACATGCTATATGTCTGGGCTTCTCAGGGGTCATGAAACCTGTCACCACACCCTGGTAGCTTCTATCAAAAGCTTTTGCGAGCAGAAGTACTCTGACATAGATTCCACCGCCCTAACCACCAAGAAAAGAAAACCCTGCACAGCACATAAACAAACCATTCCTCCAACTAAATCAGTTAAATTATTCTTTTTGCTGAAATGGTGCTAGACAGCATGCTGCAATTTAAGGTGTTTCTGGTGTGGCAAACCATATGCTGACTTGACCTCCTTTCACCTCTTTTGTTGCTTGCAACCTCCATTAAACTGTGTGACATAATCACAAGAGACAGACTTGGGTTTTTATAGAGGCAGTGGCTTGTTGAGGAAGCAATTCTTGCACAGAGGAGTTTAATGTCACAGACCAGTGCACTTTAGGCCGTTTTTTTTTTCACCTCGTAGGTGAGCACACCAGCAGCTTGGACAATTAAACTTAGCTCTATTACAGTAAAGTGCCAAGGGGCCCAGACTTAGTTCCCTCTGCTACCTACTTAATAAAATGATTAATCTGAGATGTCATTCATTTCCTCAAGAGGGAACAGCAGAATTATCTAAGAAATCTTTGACATTTCTGCAGGAATAGAGCAATGTTAAAGTTTATTTTTAATACCATATAAAATGAGTCAAGCCACAG